ATCTGCAAACACACACTCATCCTGATTATAAACATTTCTTTGATAATTCACAGCACAAGGAAACCATATAATGCTGGAATCCAGTAGAGTAATGCCTCTATTAGGACCAAACAAGATGTCACAACAGTAAGCAAGCTTTCACTTTCTTGGAAATTCTTCATCATTTTGTCCCCCTAGCCAACTTTCTCAGTGATAACTTGAATGAAAGCTAAAAAAAAGTCTTCAGATATTAAGGTAATGCATTGGAAGTCAATGTTTGTCAATATAATCTCTATTTCTAACATTTTGGTGAATTCCTTTAGATGAGTCATACCCAGGGACTGCAACTTGTTGCTGTGTTGATTTGGAAGACAGCAGATTGTCTAGATGAGGCCAGAGTAGTGAATGCCTGTTAAATCGAGTTGTAGTTGTCATGTCTTTCCCTTTCCAATAAGTTTGTATTGTCTTATTTAAGATTCACTGTACCTTTCTAGTTTTTCCTTCCTCTAACTTCATACACTTTAAGTCTGTTTATGCATAGTAGAGCAGGGTGACACTGAATTGGAGGAACACATCCCATCAGTCTTGCTTTAACTATTGTCAGTAACCTCTAGGGATGTGCTGTCATCAGGGACATAAATTTGGTTTCCTTTTCTTCATTTATAGGCTGATAAGGCGCTAGAGAATGCAATAATTCCTTCTTAACTTGATACAGGATTAATTTAATGCAGCTATTTTTGCCTGAACTGGAAAACATGTGGAACAGATTTTTACTGTGACATTCTTCCTATGTAGAAATTGCTCTATTAGTGTAGAAATTCAGCAGAATTTGAGGAAGTAAATATGGCTCTCTTACTGATATATGCAAATGAATGGAGTGGTCTCGATTATCCATATTCATTACTTAGCATCTTCTGTTATAGTGTGACACTGTATAAGTAGATTTTTTGTGAGCTTTCCTTGTTCTTCCTTATCCCTAATTCCAATTACGTAGGTAAATTAATCTGGCATTATACCGTACAAACATGTAATTTAGGAGAAAAAAATTAAGAACACCATGTTAGTTTGGTTGGGGAATATTCACTAAGGCAGCAATTGCTTTTAGTATAACAGAATCTGATCTTAGCATTATAGCAAATGTCTTCAGGGTGGAAAACTGTATTTTCTTCACCTTTTGTATCTTAATTATGAAAAAAAACCACCTCCTTGTGGGACAGAGATTTGATTCTGTGCTCAGTTCAGCACCGATCAACAACAACAAAAATGATTTGCAAGTCACTAACATGCTTAATAAAAACTTGCTTTTCCATTTCATGGGTCTCTTAAGAATATTGAACTGAGCAGACTTGAGAGGGATCCACAGACGATTAGGCCAAACTTCATGCTCCATGTAATCCAGGAGCTTGTATCTTTTTGTCTATTTTCAACCAATGGCAACTTTGGCGGCAGTAAACAAAGGAATTTCAAAGGGAGAGGGGTTTCCATTCAGCAAAAGAATGTCATGGGGAAGAGGCTTCCTAAGCCAACTCTACCATGGTCCCTGGCAACTGGTGTTCAGAGGCATGCTTCTTCTGATTACCTGTGATACTGGAGATAATATGTAGCCATTATGATTTGTAATTATTGGAAGCTTTATCTTGCATGAACTTGTCTAATCCCTGTTTAAAGCTGTTCATGTCAATGCCTGTCACTGCATCGTATTGTAGCAAATTCCATAATTTAGCTATATGTCAAGTATGTCGTTTTATCTGTTCTGAATCCCCCACCATTCAACTTCATTGCATGATTTTGGTTTCTAGTATTGGGGTGTGGGGAGAGGGGGAGAGAGAGATTTTGTGTGTGTGTAGCTAAAAATCCACAAACAATTGTAAACTTCCTTTGTACGGGGGTCATTCCAGTCTCCTGATCGTTTTGCTTCCTTTTTCAACTGTGATGACTAGGATTGTACACACTGTTCTAAGTTTAATATCATTACGTTCTTGATTTAATAGTGGATGGGGCAGCTGATCTGGCATGTATAACTGAGACCTGGTGGGTGAACAAGGAAGAGTTAGTCTCTCCCAATTATGCCCACCAGGGTACTTGGTACAGCATCAGGGTGGACATGAAGAACAACTGACGTTGTCTAATAAAAAAAAATCTTTCCCCAGGCACCCTGCACATCCAACAACTAGTCTGGAGTGTTTGTACCTTGTGTTGGGCCAGCAGGACAGATTGGGAATTCTGCTGGTGTAATGCCCACCCTGCAACCTGTCAGTTTCCTTATCTGAGCTGATGGAGGTGGTCTCACACGTGGTGTTGGAGTTCCCCAGGCTGTTGGTTCTTGGAGATGTCAACATTCATGCCCAGGACATCCTATCTGGAGCAGCTCAGGATTCCTTGACTGCTATGACAACCATGGAATTGTCCCAACATATCATTTCCTGACACATGTGGCAGGGCATACTCTATATTTGGTCTTCTCAGTTGGATGTGAGGATGGTGCTCTGAGCTTGAGAGATTCTGAGTCAGTCCCTTTGTCATGGTCAGATCATCATCTGCTGAGATTTAGACTGATGGCAGTTTTTCCCTTCTGCAAGGGTGGGGAACCTATGAAGATGGTCTGCCCCGGAGACTAATGGCTCTAGATGGTTTCCAGAGGGCTTTGAGGGATTTGTCGGCTGACATGGTTGGCATTCCTGTTGAAGCCCTGGTAGTGCTGTGGAATGGAGAAAGGAACCAGGTGGTTGACATGATCACTCTTAAGCACCCTCCCTGTTGTAGAGCTCATATGGCTACATAGTATACCTTGGCGTTGAGAGTGATGAAACAACCTAAGAGATCACTTTTGTACAGATGGAGGAAAACTCCCAGTAAATGCAGCATACACCTAGTATGTGCCTACGATCAAGTACATTTTGAAGCGGTGAAGGTGACAAAGAAACAATGCCTCAATGTCTCTATCCATTCTTCTCTTTGCTACCCAGTGGAACTTGTCAAAGTTGCCTGGGCTTATTACACTCTGGCCCCTGAGACATCTTGAAGCACTCTCAGGCCCACTGCAATTTACTCACTTGGCACTTCCAGGAAAAAAATCTCTTGCATCCGCTGAGACTTGGATTTCAGAATTATGGCAGCTACATCTGTGGAGATGCCTACAGTACAGCCTGGTACTTTTGCTTTTTTTGCATGAGTTTCAGTTGATACAGCTTGAAGATGTGGACAAGGTGTTTGGACAGGTTTGTGTGACCATCTCTTTACTCAATCCTTGTCCCTCCTGGCTTATAAAAGTCAACAAGTAAGGAACAATCAGTTGGGCCAGGAGCTTATTAATGCCTGTTTGTGAGAGGGATTGGTCCCATGCTACCTTAAAGAGGTAGTGGAAATATGACTTCTGAAAAAGCCCTCCCTTGACCTGGAAGATCTGACACACTTTAGAGTGGTAACATCTATTTCCTAGGCAAGCTTCTAGAAGGGGTGGTTGTCAATCAACTCCAGCTAACCTTGGATGAGACTGATTATCTGGACTCATTTCAGTTGGAGTTCAGGCCTGTTTTTGGCAAAGAAAAAAGCTTTGCTGCCCTGTATGATGACCTATGCTGGAAGCAAGATGGGGTAGTGTGACCCTGTTGATATTGCTGGACCTCTCCGCAGCTTTCAATACCATCAACCACATTTTCCTTCTGGAGGGACTGAAAGGGGAGTGGGAGGCATTGTATTGCCTTATATGGCTTAGGACCATAAAGCACTATAAATCCAAAGGGATTCCATGCAAATCTTGATGTTATCAGGAATATGATATTTACTATGTGTTCCTGGTGCATAGTCTGAACACTATTAGCAGTTTACTAATATTTCTTTTTAAATTAATGAATGAATTTATATAGCATCATCTATCTATATTGTACAACTGAAGTATATAAGGAGAGAACCTGATAAATTGACACATAGGACAAAGAAAAGAACAAAAGAATATATACTCATTTCTGTTCCATGGATTTAGGCTTGGCTGTTTTGGAATAGGAAACTAAGAGGAGTTGATCCAAGGAAATTTGTGGGGAAACCCACTGTGAGGAAAATGAGTTTTAAAGACATACTTGAAGGAAGTAAGAGAGATAGAAAGACGTGTTGTTATGGGATGCAGACCCAGTGATTACAGGTAACGGGGGAAGAGTCGTTTGAAGGAACAAGAGACTTTCACACAGCTGAGTGTGGCGATGAGGTAGAAAGTAAAGTTAAAGATCATTGACAGGGATGTATAAGGGTAACAGGTAGAAAAAGAAAGAGGTAAGACCTTGGAGGGCCATTCTGCTGGATCCAAGATAAGAGAGAATATATAATAAAAGCAGAAAAAATAAAAGTTTAAAACAGCTAAAAACAGATAATAACTTTCAGAAAATAAGAAAAAATATTTAACAAGGAATAACAAAATTTTAAAAAAGACTCTGCAAAACACCCGGTGTTCCCCCATAAGCCCCTGGGTGACCAAGTAAGTCTTTAAAAATTTCAGAAAAGCAGGCTATCTTAACTGTTGCCAGTTTGGAGAAGGTTGATACAAGTTTTCCAAATTTTCTGTCCAAACACCAAGCCTTTCCGGTTCTGCTTAGCGTAAACAAGTTTGCTTAGCTTAAACAAGTAGCTTCAGACACTGGATCACTTGGCACTAAATGACTAGTGGGCTGGTTGCCTAATTTTAAAATATAGTTGCAACAACTAATGGCGGTTGAATATTTCATGGATGTGAAACACAGTACAATTCCTCTGTAATGCACATGTCCATAAAGCTGCCCGAGTCATCTTGTAATGCTGCAGGTATCCTGCCGCATACCTGTTTGAAGCCTCAACAATCCTCTAAGAACCTGTTGCTTACCACCAGCATAAATTATGCTTTGCCACTGTGCACAAGGGCTGTTGATCAGATATTAATGTAGCTGTTTCCAAAGAGCTTTGCATACTGATCTAGACTGAACATATGTCCGTAACATATGAGAAGCTACATAGGAAAAATGAGATGAAACAGTGTTTGTTTTTTTCCTCTATAGGACCTGTTTTTAATGTCTCCGTGCATTCCGATAGTCCAACCATTTATCGAGGTGAATTGGTGAATTTGATTTGCATAATCACTGTTGAAGACACAGTATTGGATCCAGGTATGATGTGAATTCATTTTGACTGATAATTGCTTTTCCTTCCCCCACCCCTTCACCTCTGTTCTTTTTTTGCTATTTGGAATTAAGGGCCCCAGTTCAGTGAGAAATCTGGAGTGAGTTTTTAATCTGCATCTACATGATTTGCTAGCATTACCCCATGGCAAATGTGTTATCATTTGGGTTAAGTTATAATTAGCAGCTGCTTGTAGATGCTTCAGCAACAGCTGATAAAATGCCAGTTTCATACTCATAACAAGGAACTCTAGATCTGACTTTTTCTATAAAGCTCAGATGGAGTTGATGGAATCCTTGATCTTGTGAAGCCAGCAAGTAGGGCCACAGTGGACACTGGCCTATTGAAACATAACACCTGCCACAATTTTACACTTGGTTATCCCCTGTTATGCATGTTCTCTCTGCATTATTTGAAGAAGTCTTTCTGTTTACCCAGCTGTCAGAACCGGAGAAAAGATCTAGATAGAGGTATTGCTATGAACAATTGGAGATGATGCAGGACCTTTATGAATTGCTCTTTAACTATTGAGCCTGTTTGCAGTGAGAGTGTTAGTTATGAATTAAGACCTGTTGTCTTGTTGGCTATATTAGCAGCAGGCTAAGATTTTTCTTTCACTACAGGGAATAGTCAGGTGTTTCAGTTGAGAATAAAACTATGTTGATTTTCGATCTCTGAATATCCAATCTAGGAGAACAGTGCACCTGAAAGTGCCCATATAAGAAGGAATGCCTATTTTCCCATGTGCTAATTGTTCATTTACAAAAATTGCACATTTACAAAATCAGCTGTCTTTCTCTATGGAAAAGTGTCACCTTTAATCATCACTAGACCCCTTGTGAACACACAAAATCCAGTACATTTCAGAGGATGCTTATTTGAGAGGGCTGCTTGGTTGTTGTGAGTGTTCAGCACAGAAATCAGGGCTTAGCTATTTTCAGTTAAGCTTTCCAGTTCACCTATACAAATACAGTTTTGATGGGTGTTTATACTCTTGTATGCAATATGTTGAGGACACATCTAGGGCAAACCATTCATTCTTCCATAATCCTTAATTTTTTGTTGATGTGTTAAAGTGCTTATAGCAAATATTTCTAATATCCTGCTCAGAGGGAATACAAATGCTCTTTTGTCTGTCAGCCTGTTTCTTCCTTAGAACTTAAGATCAATTTGTTCAGTGCATACAGTCATTGGTCCTAGATCAGTATTTAAATTGCAGTCACAACTTAAATACAAGCTGTAACTTAAAGTTGCATACAATTACACAAACCCAATAAGCATGGATTTTGCAAGGGTTAAAAGCAACCATTGCATAACCTGTGGTCTTGTTGAACTGTTGTGTAACCCATACTTTTTCGGTTTTCCTAACATGTCCGGAATGGGGTTGCATATTTAGTATGCAGCTTGTTGGGCCTTAAATCACTCACAAGCCATAGCATGTTGTCTGAACCCAGTCATTCTGTTGATAGTACTCCATTTCCCTGCTGAGTGAATCAATAAAGTGCAAGAAGCAGGCAACTTGACAGGAAACTATACCACTTCATCTAATAATTTAGAACGTGGTTACATACTGTATTTTTCGCTCTATAAGACGCACCTGACCATAAGACGCACCTAGTTTTTAGAGGAGGGATCCATGGAAAGCTTCCTGATAATCACAGGCACATTCCCCATCACTTCCCCATGGGCTTCATTAAAAGACGGGTTGCCATTTGAAAACACACACCGACCTGTGATTAACAGCTCTCACCTGTGCCAGAGGAGGGGGGCAGAGCAGGGCGTGCCGAGCACGTGCCGGCCAGGTGTGGTGCAGCGTGCCGGCAGTGGTCTTCTGGGCGGCATGGCGGCGGCAGGTCTTCCCAGATGGTAGGGTGAGCAGTCCGTGTCTCCGTGCGGCCGGCGGGTTGAAGCCTGCAGCTCCTCCTCCTCCACACCGCTCCCCCTGAGCGGCACAGCTCTCACCTGTGCCGGAGGGGGGGTGGAGCGGGGTGCGCCAAGCACGGGCCGGCCAGGTAGTGCCACGTAGTGCAGCTGGGCCGGCAGCGTGCCAGCGATGGTCTTCCAGGCAGCGCAGCGGTGGTGGTGGCAGGTCTTCCCGGGCGGTGGGGGTGAGCACTCCATCTCTCCGTGCGGCCGGCGGGTTAAAGCCCGCGGCTCCTCCTCCTCCGCAGCAGGTCTTCCTGGGCGGTGGGGGTGAGCAGTTTGTCTCTCCATGCGGCCGGCGGGTTAAAGCCCGCTGCTGCTTCTCCTCCGCACGCCTCCCCCTGAGTGGCACAGCTCTCACCTGCGCCGGAGGGGGTGGGGCAGAGCAGCACGCGCCGAGCGCGTGCCGGCCAGGTGGTGCCACGTGGTGCAGGCAGGCCGGCAGTGTCCCGGGTGTCGGGCACACACACATTTGCTCTATAAGACGCACAGACATTTCCCCTTCCTTTTGAGGGGGGAAAAAGTGTGTCTTACAGAGCGAAAAATACGGTACTCCCATTTGAGGGATGGGTAAATTAACTATGTATAATCTGTACCATAGGCTCATCATGAGTTAACGCATGAGTCTGTTCCATACTGTTTCTATATTAATGTGCAAGTGTCTGCAGTCCAGAAATAGCCACCTGCGTTCACATTGAGAGCAGGAATACTGAATAAAAAATACTGCAGATTTTTCATCTTGGTTTGTTTTCTGATAAACAGTATCTATTTTGGAGGGACTGCATTTGAATTATTTAAGTTCTTGGATTAAGCGGTGGCTTCTGCTACTGATACCTCAATAGCAGCTTTATGAAGCCTACTATTTGGCAGAGAATATATGCTTTTGAGCAACCTTTTCTATGGGCTACATTCACAGGGCTGTAAGAGTTGATATTTTTGTACGAGCAGTATATTAGAGAAGTCTAGTCTTCATTAGGCACAAGTAGCATCTCCTCTTGAGAGTTACAAAATATGCCATTTTTAGGACTGTATTTCAATGTACTTCTGGCATGTATTTGGAAGAAATATTCTTATCACATATGCATTAAGATGTAAAAAGCTGTATTCTGAACATATGAGGACTCAAAGTGAGCAGAGTGACTGGGTCATACATGCTGACCCCACTGCCTGCCTTTCCAGCCTGTCCTCTCTATTCAGTTGTTTCTTTGGTAAATGGGCAAAGTCTGAAAGGGCGTTCTGGTCACATTCCCTTAAATGTAAATAGAATTCCTCATGTAATCACAGACCCTACAGAGTTCCCAATCACAGAGAGAATATTCTACTTGTGTTCAGATGACTGTGACTAGAACTGGCTTTCAAACCTTGCCAATTCTATACAGCAACATCTGAACTGAGGCAAGTAGGGGCAATGTCCATGGCCTGAGTTCCTGAGCAGAGCTGGTGTATTCTTACAGTTGCTTGTGTGTTTAAATGCTTATGCTTTGATTTTGGTATTGGATATTAAAGCTTCCTCTGGTCTGTTTCAAAGGAATTATACTTTGGGCTGTGTTTTCTTCACAACTAAATAGCCTACTCTCTCCAAATACGTTTCCATCAAACATCTGGACTAGCAACCATATAGAAGATGTAGACTTTCTCACATATTTTATGGCTTTATCCTTTTGGTCAGCCAGTCTGCCTGTTTCATTTCCAGACCTTTTAAACACCTTTTTAAATTATAATGGCTGCTTCAGTTATTAATATTCTTCTAACAAAAGCATATGCATATATCCCATCGAAGGTGCCACTGACTACTCTGGTCTCTTTCTTTCTCACTCTCTCTCTCTCTGGTGCAAAACACTGTACTGAGGAGCCAACTCTATTTATTGAATTGTTGCTAATTCCTTGAATTGCTGCTAATTTGTATACTTTCTATGTAAATAGATATAGATGTTATAGCCACCTATGCTTGCATTACCACAGCTTCAGGAGTCATAGAATCACAAAGAATTTCCCCCAACAGCCTCTCCATCTTTGAGAATATATTTATGTATGCTTATTCAGAAATAATTCCTACTGTGTTCAAGGGGTGTTATTCTCATAGGACTGCAGCCTCAGTGACTGACTATACTGTGTTGCTTTATTTATTAGGTTATAATATCCCATATTGCAAAATATAAAAATGTTTTGATATCAAAATAGCAACAATCAGAAAGATTTCATATATTTGGGATATACTATCATTGTTTTTGGGGCAGAGGGACCTTGAGGCAGAATTGCTGAGAAAGTAATAGTTGCAGAAGGTAACTCCTTTTACAGGGTATGCCTGAGAGGGTGAGGAGGGTGGAGAATCTAAACTATGGACAAGAGAGATTGTAGATCAAAACATATTCATCTTCCCTATGAGTTTAGTCTCCCAGAGTGTTCAAGTGTAATTGGATCAAGTTAGTCAGAAATACAGAGCCTAGAAATAAGATGGATAGAAATGTGGGTAATGAATGGCTTGAGGGATTGGGACTATAGTATCTGGGACACTTCTATCCCTCTGGGCACAGACGCTGATAACTGATCTGGGTGAAGATGGATAGTTCCCATCTGGTGGATATCTCAGTCTTGGGCAGTGCCTCTGATTGGCTGTCCACACAACTTGAACAAAAAATAAATGAGCCAACCCCCCCCACCCCCGCACATGAAGTGTAATTGGCTTCCCTTCAGTTGTAGCAGATGCAGGGGATGCACAGATGATACAGGCTATCCAATAAAAATGATCCTGTTAGAACATAAGACTTGGGAAAAAATGCTCATGGTAACTTTTTGATCTGCAACAGAAACTAGAATAATGTAACATATAACTTTGTAACACGGACAAAGGTTTAGGATAAATTATAGTATCTCATGGCATCAAAGAATAAGTCTGGTAATCTGTGCAAAACAATCATCTCAATTACATTGTTTTGTTTTTGAGATGAGGAAGGTAACTTGCAAGCATAACAGAGGTTCAAACCCTTCTATTTTATCCCTAAACTGTATCTTTCTCCCTCTCTAATCTTTATGCTTGGTGAACTTTGACTTGTATTACCTATCA